GGTAACAGTCACATCAGTGGTAGTAACTTCATTAACGGCTTCACTGTTTCCATTCTTTAAACCGGGTAAATTTTCTTCTTGGACAGAGGCTTTTTCACATGACACGTCTTAGGCAGCATCATTTGTTCCATTGTTCCTTTGGTTCCAACTGAAATGTCTGTTGGCATGCTCCACCTTTGGCTTACCTCTCCGACCACATTTTATCCTGAAAGTCACGTCTGAGAGACGATCCACTATGTCATATGGGCCTTTCCATGGAGAAGACAACTTAGGAGACTTCCCTTTGGTCTTCCTGGGATTATACAACCACACCTTGTCTCCTGGTACAAAGCTGACTTCAGTAGATTTTTTATCATAAGATAATTTCATCGAATCAGCAGACGTTTTCAAGTTTGAGTGCACTTGATGGTGAATATCATCCAACCTTTCCGATAACACTTTCACGAACTCTGGTACATTTCTAGGCAACTCGTCGTAAGGTGGGCGTCCTGTTATCAGATCACTGGAAACTGAAGTTCCCGACCAACCATCAGCTTTGCTGGAGTGTATCCAGTGGCTTCATGCTCTGCTGTTCTATAGGTCATCAACAGTGGAGGGAGTAAGACATCCCAGTCATCTTGGCAGCTATTACAAAACTTTGCCAATTCCTGTCCAAGTGTCCAATTGTATGTTTCTACCATCCTATCAGACTGTGGGTGTAGAAGCGTTGTCCTGGTCTTTCGTATACCAAACAACTTGCAGCATTTATGGACAACGGCTGATTCAGAGTAACGGCCTTGATCCGAATGCAGTTCGTATGGCATACCATACTTGAAGAAGAAATCACTAATAGCCGAAGCTACAGCTGTAGCTTCCTGATTTTGTATTTCATATGCTTCAGGCCACTTGGTGAAATAATCCATCCCCACACAAATGTACTTGTTTCCAGCACGAGTTCGGGGCAAAGGACCAGCAATGTCAGCAGCTACTCTTTCCATTGGTGCACCAACTTGATATAACTTCATTGGAGCACGTCCCTTGTGCTTGGGTCCCCTTTTAGCACAACATGTACTGCAGGTCCTGCACCATTCTTCCACATCTTGCCTCATATCTATTCAGTAAAATCTCTGCCGTAGGTGACTCAATGTCTTCTTAACTCCAAGATGTCCTCCTGTTAAACTAAAATGGGATTGACGCAGCACAACTTCCCGTAAATTTCTCGGTATAACTGTTTGCCAGGTCGTCACCTTCCCATCTGCAGTTTCCCATCTTCGGACAAAAATACCATTTTAGAAATTCAATTGATCCAGTTTGAAATACTATATAAGCTATGTGTTCGTACTATTGTTTGTTCAACACCACTATTTTGTTAGCTTGAGTTTGAAATAATATGTAAACTGTGTGTTCGTACTATTGTTTGTCCAACACCACAATTTTGTCAGCTTGAGTTTGAAATAGTATGTGAGCTGTGTGTTCGTACTATTCTTAGTTCAACACCACAATTTTGTCAGCTTGAGTTTGAAATAGTATGTAAGCTATGAGATCGTTCTATTCTTTGTTCAAAACCACTATTTTGTCAGCTTGAGTTTGAAATAGTATGTAAGCTGTGTGTTCGTACTATTGTTTGTTCTACACCATTATTTTGTCAGCTTGAGATAGAAATAGTATTCAAGCTGTGTGTTCGTACTATTGTTTGCTTAACACCATTTATTTGTCAGCTTGAGTTAGAA